GGTTTTCAAACAGGTTTCAATGTCTGACTCAACTTACGTCTACAGTCTCTCATGCAGACACAAATGGCGCCAATGAAGAGTTCTGGAATCGGCATTGGCCCCATCTGATGCAGTAAAACAATCCAATATGACCTTATCTAGTTTTCATATCCACAATCAAATTTCTTTCCTGTTATAAAACTACGATAAGACTGCTAAAAATGGAATAAATATATAACTGATGTCAAAGTAATACATCAAAAACTTTGAGTCAAGGATGCTGCTCACAACAAAGTTATATGGGAGAATTGACTTCAGACTTTGTTTTTTCCAGATATTTATATTACGTTCATCTGATATCTGGGTTTTTGTTAATGCGAAGATAATATTTCTATATCTCTTTATGTGCTGCGCAGACTATTTAGCAGACTGTTTCGACTGACTCTAATGTCTATATAATATGTTTCGTAATAATAACTTCTGAAGATTCTGTTCGTTTTTGGAGGCATTTAGGAATATGATGTGAAGCCCTTACTTGAAGACGCCAATGAGTCCTCCCAAAGTGGATATAGCAACCGCTTCTAAACTTTACGTCCATAGCTTCAATAGTTGTTAGACATGATTGCAAAACAATTCTGTGAACTGCTGTTCTACAAACGCAGGTAATATTGCTTCGGAATAGTAGCAAAACGCAAGAAGTTCACGAAGCAAACTAAATAATAGAACAGAATGACACAAACCTCAGATTTCCTTACGTACCTGATCACGACGATGTCATTCAAATATAGCAAATTACTAGAATATGTTGTAGTGTACATTTATGTCATTTAAAAATTTGGCAGAAAACAGTGATTGTTTCATGTGATCTTGAAACATATTGCAGTTTCTGCTCGTTTGAGAACAGTGACCTTTGCGTGTAAATATGGATTCAATTGACTTTTAGCTATCGAAACGCCAAACAAAAGTGCGGTGGAATGGACTGCGCGTCATACTGTGCAATGGGACTAAGAAGGCAGAAATACTCTGAAGTGACCGACAAGAAGGGTCCAGAAGATCTGAATTTCTCAGATGATTGATGTTTAATGTCAGGCAACCTCGAAGACTTGCACGCAAGAACCAGCAAACTGTCAGAAGACGTGAGCAGCAAAGACAGCACTGCAGGTGAACGCAGAGAAGACTTATACGATGAAGATAGAATCTAGCGCGCGCTGTTTGAAAGGGAGTGCTTTTTTCACGTATTTCACGTTTTTGACAAATCGCTGTTTTGTTGTGTTATTCACTTCAAGAACATTAAAAAAATCTTTAACTTGAATTTTGTCTGTTAAGTTTTGATTTTAACCACTTATATAGTCTATATTGGGTAAATTGTCTTGGCTGTTTCCAGTAGAAGTTCATTATGTCAAAAGTACCACACAATTGCAATAGGGCGGAGTGTTACTTTTTGGTAGATGATGGAATACAGTGTAATAACTGTGAAAAGTGGTATCATAAGATGTGTACTGGATTACGTTCAGCTACATACAAACGTTGTACTGCTCCAACATCCCACTGGATGTGCAGAATGTGTTGTTCCCCCAAGATGACCTTAATAAGGGAGGCTCACGAACTGCTGTCTAAAGCCATGGAGCTTCCCGATGATAGCGTGGCTAGTAAGAGTGACACGGACTGCCCGTCTGAAGATGACGCAGTAAGTGCCATCATGAATGTTATCGCACCGGCGGTTACTATCCCAGTTACCCCGGAAGTAAAACCTACTAGGCGTTCGAAGCGTCTTAGTAACCGAAAAGGTAACAAAACGGAAGCTGTAAACAGCATCTCAGAACCAGAGAACACCGTAAGCGAAGTTCACCATGAAGGTGGTGCAGACACTGATCTTGATTGTACCATCAAAAACTGCAGCAGCCCTGAGAAGCAACTGCAGGCAGATGATAAATGGGTAACAAAAATAAGCAGTCGGAAGAAATATAGTAATATTGATGGTAGGCAAACGTCTGTCACCTGTAGCCAGGCTGCATCAATAGTGGTGAGAAAGGACGCAGCCACTGCTAAATACGACAAGCTCTCCTTAGACTCTAACATAATTGTTGGAAATTTGGAAGAGTCCAAAGAATCTGATCCCGTGAAAAGGCACGATCACGACCTTAAATTAGTGAGTAGCATTATAAGGAAGATGCTCCCAGCGAATTTCCCTGGAGTATCGATTAAAAAGCTGATTAGAATAGGCAAAAGAGATGATGAATGTTCTAGTCAGCGTAGGTTGCTTAAAGTAGTCTTAGGTTCTCCTGATGAACGGAATCATCTACTGGCTGATGTACACAACCTTGCCGGGTCAGGAATTTCAGCCAGACCTGATTTATCTCTTGAAGACAGACTTAAACGAAAAGAAGTTTTGTCCCAGCTAGAAACAAGACGTAAAAATGGTGAAACTAACCTTAAACTGGTGGGTTTTCAAATAGTCAGGTCTTGGAAACGTATGCTTCCAAGACCTGTGTGGATGAGCCAGACCGCATAGGAAGCCTGAAGGTAGTGTACACTAATATACGTGGTATCGGGAACAAATTTCACGAGCTAGGTGTATTAGTAGAAGACCTTAGCCCAGGTATTGTGGCCATTACTGAAACATGGCTGGTTTCTGGATTAGATGACACACCTGAGCTATGCGGATTTAGTTGCTTGCGCAGCGACAGGGTTAAGGGTCGTAGAGGTGGCGGGGTTGCTCTGTACATCAACAACTCCCTACATGTTCGTTCCGTGAAATCTGAAGCTCATGACAGTGGGACAGGTGAGGTAATTAGCTGTGAAGTAAGCTTTGCAACCGGCACTCTACTCATTGGAGTTCTGTATAGAAGTCCCTATTGTCAGTGTGATGACTTCATTTTAGATCACCTCAAACAATGGAGTAAACACAGTAGCTGTCTTATTCTAGGTGATTTTAATGCACCTCATATAGACTGGGTAGCTGTCACATCCCCAGGATCCGCTGATAAGTTTGACAGCCGGTTACTCTTGACTACCATGGAAAATGCCCTGACACAACATGTCTTAGGTAGTACAAGATTCGGTTCTACCCAAGGATCTTCCTTGCTGGACTTAGTGCTTACTCATGACAACGACGACGTGGATGGTCTAGTTATTCATCCACCTCTAGCAAACAGTGATCATGGGGTGTTAGATTTTAACTTAAGGGCTGGCAATTTAGTCAGTTTTCAACCCAAATCCCGGCCTAGTGTTTGGCATGCTGACATAGTGGCTATAAAGGAGCGTGCTTCAACTGCCGACTGGTCAGTCAACATTGTCTCATCCATTGAGGATGAATGGGATCTGATCTCATCCCCCTAAAAGGCCAACAAATCGGCCACCATGGATAAATAGACAAGCTATAACACTCCTGAGACGGAGAAAAAGGTTCTGGAATCTCTTTGTTTCTACTGGGCTACAGCAGTTCCGGCTGAAATACTGTGAAACCAGAAACCAGTGTAAAACTTTGATCCACCAGTCAAGGATAGCTTACGAAACCCAGTTAGTTAAAAGTTCACCAGGCTGCCCAAAAAGACTCTTCTCATATATCAAGAGAAGAACACGTAAGAGTGATGCTATCCCACCTCTTATGCTTGAAGATGACCAGACAAACATGGCTGAGGATAACTTGACTAAGGCTGAGGCTTTGTCCAAGCACTTTAGTCAAGTATTCTCTGATAATATTGATACCAGCTTTGTAAATTTTCCAAAAGGTAACTTGAAAATGGCACCCTTATACATTGGAAAGGATACTGTCCTAAAGTGGCTTCTAAGGCTCAATCCTGGTAAGTCCAGTGGCCCTGATGAACTCCACCCACGTATATTAACAGCATTGGCTGAAAGCATAGCCGAGCCATTGTCGGTAATCTTCAATATGTCTCTGGACCAGTCTAAATGTCCAAGAGACTGGAAAGATGCCATCATTAGTCCGGTCTTCAAAACCGGATCTAGAAACTTAGTTCAGAACTATCGTCCTGTTAGTTTGACCAGTATTGTTGTTAAACTACTAGAAAGAATAATTCGTGATGCTATCATTCAGTTCATTGAAGGGAACAAACTTTTCGCTGTGGAACAGCACGGTTTTAGAGCAGGTCATTCTTGCTTGACCAACCTTCTTTTGGCCAGAGAAAGTTGGGCAAGCTCAGCTGATGCTAATATACCGGTGGATGCCATATTCATAGACCTTAGCAAGGCGTTTGACAGGGTTTCTCATTCAGGTCTTCTAGTAAAGTTAGGTAGTCTGGGAATCAATAAAGTGGTTACCGACTGGATTCAAGACTTTCTAAAGGACAGAAGACAAAGAGTACGAGTTAACGGGGTTTTATCAACATGGGAATCGGTTAAGAGTGGCGTTCCTCAGGGTACAATTCTAGGCCCACTTCTTTTCCTGATTTATGTTAATGAGATTCCATCGGTAGTTAAGTCATCCTGCTTACTGTTTGCTGATGACATCAAGATATGGAGGGCTTTGCACGATGACAGTGATCAACTTGCTTTGCAGGAAGATTTAAACTTGTTAAGTGATTGGTGTAAGCACTGGGCCTTGGAGATTAACTTAAGCAAGAGTGTAGTTATGCATGTATCTCATAGTCACGTGCACAATTACTCAATGAATGGCATTACTCTCCCAGTGGTCACTGAGTACAAGGACTTGGGAGTGGTTGTGCAGCATGACTTGAAAACAGCAACAAACTGTAGAACTGCAGCCACTAAGGGTTTTCGAATGTTATGGGCCATACGCAAGGCTTTTGCGAACTTTGACGCTGATATATTTCGTATATTATATCCGACTTATATCAGACCTCATTTGGAATATGGGATCCAGGCAGCGAGCCCGTGTTTCAAATACGAAATAGACTTATTAGAAAGGGTGCAAAGAGTAGGAACTAAGCTAATAAAGGGTTTCTCAACCCTGTCATATGAGGAGAGGTTAAGTCGACTGGGTTTATTTCCACTGTCATACAGACGACTTAGGGGTGACCTAATACTAGCATACCGTATCCTAAGAAATGATTTTGGAGCTAATTTATCTAAATTATTTCTTCCTTCTACCACCAACCAATTGCGAGGACATCACCTCAAAGTTCAAAAACCACGGTCGAATCGTTTGCGTCTGGAGATCCGTTTTTCGCATCGAATTGTGAACCATTGGAACTCCCTACCAGAACACGTCGTATCAGCGCCATCCGTTGATTCATTCAAGGCGAGATTGGACCTCCTGTGTGCAATAAATCGAAAGGATTAACACAGGCATATAGCCTACTATCCTAAATAAATTGTAAACTGTAAACTGTAAACCAACAAACAGCAACAAAATCAACCAATACTAATCACTAACAAAGAGAAAGATCTGACAGAGGTTAAATCCTACATTCTTTTAGCTGGGAAATATGGTCTCAACCACAGACAGTTTGACAGCACGGGTGGGGAGGTCAAAACCGACCAGCGAGAATCGGGAAGGCAAGATATGCATTCATCAACCTGAAACTAGTTTGGAAATCTTCTGCTTCACTCAGCCAGCATAAAGAACGATATTTTGATTTTGTTCAACACCAATGTCAAGCCGGTCCTTGGTGTCAGAAACTTGGCGAGTGTGTTACGAGAAGCATTTTCAAAAGGTCACTGCAGACATTTATCGAATACTGCCCACTCCGCTGGCTGGCCCCATACTGAAGTTCAAATGGCAGGCCAGAAAGAAATAACAACAAGAAACTGGCTGGGAACAAACCAGCCAAAAGCCGGTCAACAAATATGTAGGAGAAAATTCAGGTAGATCGGGCATAAGCTGAGTAAGCTGCTGAATGACCTCATGCGCGATGCAGGGCATTGCCAGAGTGGAATCAGAACGGGAAGCGATAAGTGGGTCGTCAGTTTGAGGGCGACATGGAGGAAGTCGTGTGGCAAGGAAAAGATGAGAGATTATGGTCAGTCGCGGATCCAGTTGAAGTATGCAGGATCAAATAGTGCATAGTGGAGATGTGCTGCTGCAGCTATATGTTCCACTTGGGACCTAAGGGAATAATAATACCAGTCTCACAACTTCTGGGGCAGAAACTACAGAGACCTTAATAGTACGTGGTCCGGATATTTCCGCAATAGGTACCTCCATTAATTACGTTAACCTGTCCTCATACTGTCGATATGTCAAGAATTTTATAGTGAATGACTTATAATTTTCATCGAAAAACAAGTTTTGCTGCTCCTCGATATAGTGTGGAGTGGCTTACTGTCTTAGAAGATCGAGTTATTGTAGTCCATAGACGTTAAATTGAAATCGGTCTTACCAGTCATGGATTTCATTTTTTTACTTCTAAACTAATCATTCGTATATATTTCGAAGAATGATGATGATATTTTTCATTTTACGGCCCTTTCTAGACCCTAGTTTATAAGTATCACCAATATTGTAATGTATAACTTAACATAATTCGTACAGACTTCACAGACAGTGATTAGAGCAAATATGCCAAGTTCGTACGTATGGTGATGACAGTGATGACTGAAATTCCACTGAAAAACCTTACCAAGCACAAACAGTGTTTTTTCCTGCGAACATACACAAACTTATTTGTATGAGCCAAGATTAAAAGTGTACGTTACAAAAAAAAAGGGTAGATAATTAAACTCGTCATTTTACTTCTTTACATTCTCTCCCGTCTTACTCTCCTGACAACTTATTAATATTATAATTACTATTATTATTATTACTATTACCGATATATATATTATTCTTCAAACTTCATGAGCTGACTGTTGTTACGTTTCCTATTTTCGTTTCTGTCTCTTAGTCTGAATAGCTTCACTAATTATATCTATTATTATTATTACTATTATTATTATTATTACTATCTCTTTTCTCTTGTCGACAATACCGAAGGACTAACTGGCGAAAGGATCAACTCCAATCACAGTAGTAACAGTCTTAACATACCTCATACTACAAACCACATATAATTAATCCCAGCACTACTCCCTTTGGAGTCAACCAAAGCTACGACAGTCGAGTGGCGGGACAAGCTACGCAGAAGTTTACCGAAGATCAAGAACCTATACCTCACAATCAAGAGGCGAGCACAAAGAAATCAAATTGGTTTATACTAGCTCGTAAAAACGATATTGGATATTGGATATTGAATAAACGAGGTGTTGGTTCATTTTATCGATACTAACGTTTTATGTTAGAAGACCTAGTTATATTGCTACTGTTGAATTTTAAATCATGAATAATCATATTTGGCTCACTAGAGAGCTAAAATCATGCCAAAAAGCAGCCGTACTAAGGACTCTTGGTAATGTCGAAAAATAAACGGAGTGCTGAGTTATTACTAACCATGCTCGAAAGCAGCACAGTGTTGTTGTGTTCAGAATATCAAGTCATTTCGGAATGTACTGACTTAAGGAAGATGCGTTAGTTAATAATTTGTGAGTCTTACTTCAGCTTCATTATAAACGTAAGCTGACAGATAAGTGTGCAAATAAGTAATACATCTTGAACAGTTATTAAAACTGTAGCGCTTCCGAGAACGGGGTAACAGCTATTTATTTAAGACTGTATGGAGTGGCGTTGGTCAAGAAAGTTGAAGCATCCCTCAAAGGGTCGGTGTATGGAATAAATTTAGCTGCAGCATGCTGCATCAGCTTTAAAAGAAGGTGTTTACCAGTGCCGTGGCTCATTTGGAGGATTTTAAAATAGCTTGGAAAGTTTTGTACAATTACCTGCACATGGGTGGCTAAGTCGTACTTGACAGGTGTCTAGAACCATACACGGTTTCCCGCAGCTCCTTGAACAAGTCGATTTCAGCTTTTTATAGTTTGGCGCTATCGTATTCTCATCTCTCCATCTACGATAAATCTTTCAGTAAGATAAGGAACATGGAAAACTGGGGATATGTGGGTAGTTTAGGACGGATGAGACTTGTCCAATACTTGGATAAAGTGCAGCATTTTCTTTCACCATTCCCGTGTTTCCCACTTCTTCAGTGAAATTAACCACTTTTCGTAAAACCACTTGACCAACCGATCTGTATTTTCAACAAATAAATTCCCCCAGGTTTGTATTTTCTCCGGAAGTCAATTTGTAGAATATACTTAGTTTTAAACGTTGATTCACTGTCATTTGTCGCGAGACAATATTTTAATGAAAATATTTTTTCTACTACTTTGTGATCAGACTTCAATTTACTCCAGACTGTGGGTCCATGCTGTATCTTAGCCCCTCATCCATTTGCATATTACATAAGGGAAGCGTTACAATCAATGGTCGCGTGAAGTAAAGCTGCAGAATATATCTTAGAGAAGTGTTTCTTTTCAGAACTCTAGGATTTTCAACTATAGCTTGGTTACAATATACTTCGATGATATGCTATTTACATTTTATTTAAACCACAAACGTCGTGCAATCTAGGCAATAAGAAATGAGTCACATTAGACATTATAAGAAAAAAAATGGTAAAATAATTGAGGAAACGTAGAGTAAAAACAAGTAAGCATACTTATCGGAAGGATTCCAAAGAGCCTTATAAATAGAATTAAAGAGGAAACCGAAGCATTTTCATCATTAATTTAGGTTCTAAGCCATATCAGACAGTCTCTGATAACTGAATCGCAATTTATCAGTCTTTTTGGCTACTCTTAAAGGTCCCTTTTAAAGACAATTGTGAAAACAGGTTTCTACTTATCTTGCAACAGTACTTGGCATTTGAACAGTGTAGTTTACGAACCTTACAGACCCCGAGCTCCATCTGATTAAATGCTGTTTGGATAACCAGTAGATTAACACATAGTAAAACGATATCGTCTGTATGCTTGAGGTTGGGAAGCTTTTCTAATGGAACAGTAACTTTTAATATGCACAGTTAGCCCTCGTGTGTGTCAGTGGTTCTACAGCAGAGTGCTCGATAGCGTGGCGGGCGGTCGTGGCTGATGTATTTGGAAACCTCACCTAGTTTGCTGACCAATAGTGAGTCCGTAGAGGGAGGGAGGTTTAGCATGAGGACTAGCAACACGACTTTGAAACTTCAAAGCTTAAGGCCGTACGTTGGACTCGGAAAACAAGGGATGAGAAAAATTTATCCCTATTACTTCACAAAGCACACTTTGGACGTGACTATTGTAGTATAGTGATGCATCAGAAAATAGTTGGTGTATTTTTTACTCAATATTTCATATAACTTATATTCCTCTGATAGAATATCGGAATATTTTTATCCTCAAAACAGGAGCGTTTTCATATGAATGAGACAGTATTCACAAGTTTGGAAGCCGTATGGCAACATTGCCCTGTCACTGCCTTGTCCTTCATTTCCAAAAGTCTTTTGGCCATTGGTTCAGCTAACGTACTAGGCATCTATAGTGTAGATCATGGGTTAGTTCTGTGTAAGTACCTGTTGAAGCGTTTCGTCACTATACACAGAGTGGAGACAGTAGCAGGTATGTTTACCACCTTTAAAACTTCTTGTAATCGTTATTACTTTAGATGTGAAGCAGGATAAGTTTATCTTGTGTCTGTGTGGAAATAGATTTGTCACTGTTCTGGAATTCAAGGCGACATCAGCCACCTTAACGTTAATAACCGAAGATTATCGCTGTGATAATATGATATATTGCACAGTTCATTTCAGCCCGCTAGCATTTTGTTTACAAACTCTTTCGAGTCATGGTGTACTAAAAATAATGAAATCATCCTGTGGTCACATTGCAGGTATTAGTGATTTAAACAACAGTACTTCGCTTCAGCTTGAAACAAGTGTATGGTGGGCAAATGAAATTCACTAACTATCTTGTTTTTATTAGCTATACAGGTCATATATTTCAGTTCACGTCGAAATCATTATCAACAGGTGGTAAAACTTTAGTATTTTGTGGATCTACGTTTGGGAAAATTCATGTTTATCACATTTCAAATGATGATTTATCACAGTGCTCATCGGCTCCCACCCTAACTTTGTGCGCACAAAAGGTAATTCAGATGAACTGATTGTAGTTTTTGTCTGGTGAACTATATAAATATCATAGAATTTTATTGTTATCACTCTGAAAAAGGGGGTTATATTTTCTGTTGATTTTTGTCATTTAGCCCTTGATAATTCTTCTATGGCATCGTATCGCTTAGTCTCTTGTGCTGAGGATCGTAGTATTGCTGTCTGGTCAGTATCAGCTGAGTACATTGTGAATTTCAGTGGCTCAGATAAATGGCAACTGTTGTACCACTTAAAGGCAGGCAGTTTTCTGGATGGTAGCGTAATATTTGAGTCTAGAATTTGGTGTGTTCGTGTTGGTGATTGGGGAATAATAGCCACTGGGGAGGTAAGTACCTGTTCTTTTGATGCTACTATAAATATACGTTAAAAGTTATGAATTGAAGATATTAATTGGGTTGTGAAAATGTTTTGAATTATACTTGAATAATATTTTGATAAAGCTAGTAGCGTTAAATAGCGAAACGTCAGTAAAAACAATATCGTTTTGTTTTTTATTCATTGGGAAATACAAAAACCTTTATTATAATGGATTTTTTGAATTTGTTCTTTATGATGCATTACGGTTTTTTAATATAATAATTTTAAAAAATCTAGTTGGAAAAGGGATCTTTCTCCTTTTCTTTTACTGCATTCACTTGGTGAACATTTTATTGTGACGTATTTAGGAGTTAAATTATATACTTGAAATAAGGCGTCCTCCAATAATGTACTACTTTTTGCATAGATTTCAAAAATTAGGATGTATGAAGGTCTGCTTTTTAGATTTAAACAAACTCTAAATAAGTAAGCTTTTATTAACATTTCGTACCAATCATTAGAGCATCCATGTAACTAGATTGAGCAAAAGTACCTAGATCGTCCCCATAGTTTATATTCAGGGACTGCGGTTGATATATATATATATATATATATGCCCATCTCAATGAACAAATTTCTTAGCTAAAGATCTTATCATTGTTCTGCAGAACTGAAGGATATTAACCAGTTCAGTGATCGAGGGTGTTATACATTGTCATGCTACACAGGTGCTCATGAAAACGCCTTCAATTTTTATACCACTTGAAATGCATAGTTGTGTAATTTTTCAACCGTTTCATAACTTATACACTTTTCACAAGTTACCATTCAAAAGGTTTATTTAGACTAGTGTTGGTGTTAGTGTTCCGGTGTGCTTCACGTGTATGTTTAAAACTAGGCATTTCGTGTGAATATATCTCAAATAGTTTTGAAAACTTAGTATCTTCAACACTAGACTAGATGGTTGCTAAGTGCATTGAAAAATTACCTACTCTCCTGTGGTAACAATGTGTTGTGGCGACATTTGGTACTTCAAGCTTATTATTTATGAAAGGCAGCGTGCTACCATGCTAGGATTGTTGGTGACAGATGTTTTTATAGCTATTCTCACGTGTAATGGAACCTCATGATAAGTAATGTTGAAATGTTAAGTAAAGTGAAAAGTAAGAATACAGGTCAATTGATATAACTATAAACTAGTGTCTGGGCGCTTTCATAGCAAAACACTACACCGCTTCTTGAAACTGTCGACTTAGTCTGACTTGTGGGAAAAGATGTGGGTGTAATTTTCTAAGTGTTAAGAGCTGGTAATTACTGACTTTTGGTGGCATGGCGTGAAATCGTTTCTAGTGACCCAGGTGTACTCAAACTTAACTATTTCCAAAATTCTTTATCTTTTATTTGTATTCATTTGTTTTTATCACACATGCTTTCTCACTTCGATCTGATTATGCTTTTATTTATTCCATCTTTGTGTGCTCTTTATGCATGCGATCAGTACTCGGTCCTATTGTGGTTTACTAATGTCAACTTGGAATAAGGTTTCGTACTTTCATCCACGTTCAAATGATTATTGTTTTATGCAATCTATCTTTCTTTGCATGATTCAGGAACATATAGTTTTACACAATAAAGGATTTCTGATTGGCGTATTTCTAGTGTAATTAGTTTAATGACCAGAAGTTTTTTCGTTATTATGCTCTTTAGGATTGTCGTGTAGTTTATTACCAATGGGACAATGTAGCCCAACCTATTGTTATGCGAAATATTCATCGTGGACAAAATATTTGGTGTTGCAGTGTATGGAGTGCATCAACTGATGATGGCAGTAAATCGGTTTTGCTAGTAAGTTCTCTGCTGAAGTAATTCAAACAGTTAACTAAGTGTGATATTTTTCAGGTAGTTCACATCGTAGTAAGATTACTTTAAGTAAAGTTTACCGTTAAATCGTAGTGACTACCTTAAATGTACTGTCAAGCTTTATAGTGTAGCAAATGTCAACGAAAGCTGCTTTCCTGGTTTCAATACAAATGATGTTCTAAAATGTCTTCAGTCGATGAACCCTTCTCGTAACCTGGGTTCAGATGGTATGCCTAGCGTTACTAACAAAAAATATGCAGATATTTTATCCTCTCACTGACATATTTAATGAATCTTTTTCCAGATGCTTCTTGCCGGCCGTTAGGAAGTCATCTACTGGAACATGTGTTAAATTTAGACCTATTGCTATTACTTCTCCTTTTCTAAAAACTATGGTAAAGCTGCTCTTGCTTAATCTCTAACCTTCACTTAAAGCCTTTAATGATTCCAAACAATTCGCCTACAAACATAGTAGAAGTACTTTATATGCAGCTGAAGTCTTGCATCATAACATTGTTTCCAGTTTAGACAAAGGGGGTAAATTTTTTCGTTGCACCTCCCTAGATTACACATCTGCTTTCGACTCAGTACCTAGGGATATTTTGTTAAATAAACTTGCTGAGACTAAAACTGAGTGTTGGGTTGTCAACTACATTCTTATTTCTCAGAAAGAATGCAGTACACTGTATATCAGGGAAAATCGTCCACTTCATTGCTCTAGACGCTGTCCTTTCTCCTTTTCTGTTTTCTTTCTTCTTGCATGACTTGCTTCACTCTGATTAAATAAGCTTTGTCAAGTATACGGACGATCTAACTATCTCACTGTCTGTTAACTCCCAGCTAGACTGTGCTAAGATAAAGAGCTTTCTATCAGGAATTAGCAAAAGGTCTTCGTCTAACGGCCTTAAACTAAACCCTTCCAAATGTCAGTCTGTCAATTTCAGTTTCCGATGTAAACGAAAGTTAAATGAAGCTGTTGGTTCCTATGACCCTTGCAAAATTGATGATAGTGATATAGAAATCAAGTCTGAAGTTAAGCGTCTTGGACTAATTCTTTCTTCTGACCTATCCTGGTCTTCCTATGTCTTAGCGATTTCTAAAAGAATATTTCGTCTGACTTTTTACATTAAGAAGTTGAGGCACTCAGGCGTAACCCAACCGTTCCTCTTACAGTTTGTCAACTCGTGTATTTTACCTATTCTTCTTTACTATTCACCCTTATTCTTTCCTGGATTGCTTAAAAAAGACTATGTCATAATTCGTAGAACTCTGATGATTGTCAGTAGGACGAGTGGTATCCCATCGGGCCATATCGTTGACATTGTCACTGATAGGCATTTAATGTCATGCAACAAATTCGCTAAAGGGATTTTGTCAGACTGTGAGCATTCACTTTTCTCACAGGTTTCACCTTGTGTCTCCTCAGGTGAAGCAACAAGGCATTTCAAAAGACTCTATGCACGTACGTCTAAGTATAAAATATCCATAATACTATATTTGGTACGTATTTTATGTGATGAAAATAGTGTCAGGGACGAACTAGCTAATCTTATTAGCTCTAGTAAATGAACCATAATCTCCAAACTTATTCCACAAAGCTTTACCGTTATTATTCTTCTTATATATATAATCCTCTCGTTTTTGCTTATTTTTCCATTAGTATTAACATCATTTAAGATCTGTAATAATGGTTGTTTTTTGTTCTTCCATTCACCATGTTATATCATGAGAACATTAAATTCAATAGTTTATAACACGGTAAAATTTCCAAACTGTTTGAAAGAAACCCACTGTTATTATTATATTTATTATTCTCAGTTTGTACATCGAATAGTTTCGACTTTACACCGTAAATGTGAGCAAATCCCTGTGGTCAATTTTATTTATATTTTGAGTAAATCAGATGCAATATTGTGACAAATGCTGATAATTCCATTATGTACTATAAGTACTGTTTTTAGAATAAAGTAGATCATTATTACTATTAATATTAAACCTGACCTTAAAATTACTAATAAATTTTCTACAGTGAATTTTAGAAAGCGTATGTTTCATTATAGTTCCAGTGTTATAACTTCAACTGTGCTCATATATTAGTTGTGTTTTTTAAGCATTACGAATATCACAAGGCTTCAGCCAGTGTATTGGGCAACTCAGTCATTGAGGTTTTCCGATTCTCATTGACAGAAACAAATGAAGTGTATGTTATGTATGTCATTCCACCGCGTACTAGAATATTACCAGGAGGGATAGATTAAAAGAGGCTTCAGAGTAGTAGTCACATGAGGTCTTGACACCGATTTATGAAGTTAGTTATAGTCAATATAACCCAAAGACTGACTGTTTTTGAGGATGAGACGACCATAACTTAGTATCATCCAATGAACTCTTTGATAATTGGTTTGAGCTGGCCACGTAGGGAGGTGTAGACTGTTTGGTTTAGGTCCTCGAGATACTAAGAAGCAATGGCTTGGGACTATTGGTTATGTAACTCAAAACGTTTCCAATGCTGCAGATTCATTCACTTTTTGTGCTGTCACCTACTCACTAGACCGTCATTGTTTTCCTATTTTACTATTCTTTTCCGTTCACATATCTGTTTATTATAGTTCTTTCGAATTTCTTTTCGTTACACGAACTGTGGCAACTTGAACTGGTGCACTTCTGTGCAAAGTTCCTTGATGAAACTCAACTCACTCAGTCAGAATAAGATGGAAGTCTATTAGTCGAGTATAAATTAGGTAAACGTATCTAGATTTCATCTTCAAATGTGGAGAATCTTACTAATCCTTTTTCATAACTTTTTGTGTACTTGTTTTTTTACTGCTGTAGAGGTTATTTCCATACATTCACCTTCCAGGTGGTTGATATCTTTTTAGTGTTATGCAGTGCATAGACGGCTAGATCAATATGTTACAGGATTTCATCATGAGCTGACATCAGTTAGAGAACCATTGGAAAACCTGGGAGTACTGGACAGCCTTTTCGTCCTAGTTTGGACTCTTCAGCAGTACACACCCACAGGGATTCGAACCCAGGACCTTCTGGTTACAAGTCTAGCGAGTTCGTATACCATTAAGCCACTGGGACCCGATCCAATGGCCCATGAATTCTAACTTCTGCCAATTCACGATATAGCGCAACCGCTAGTCAATGTCTTCGACGAGTATTTGTCCTCACACCCGACCTGCTGCACCCTACTGGTCACGACTTCCCAGTAGATCAATATGTTTTGTGTTATAAATCTCCTTCTTGTGTTCTGATTCTTTTCTATATGTTTTTCTTTATTTTCAGGCTACTGGTGCAAATGATGGCGGAGTGTGTGTACGGGAACTGACTAATTATTTTCAGCATCCTAATAATAATAATAATAATAATAATAATAATAATAATGATAATAATAATATCAGTGAATGTGTAATTCTACCGTGTTATGAGTTTACATTGGATAACAATACAGAACTCACAGTTAATTCATGCAATACAGAGTCATCGTGTCCCTTAGTTTCTCGAAAGGTGATTATTTGTGTTCAGTTTATTTATCTTTAGTAAATATTTTAGTTCTTGTATACATTCAGTCGTTGTAGAATAATTATTAGTTGTCGAGAGTTAGTTTTTAGAGATCTGATTTGTTTCAATTTCGATCACGAATTGATATCACTTAGGGGAATCATTGAAAACCAGAAAGTAATGAACGGCTGTTTCTGCGCCCGTAAGGACTCTTCAGTAGTGCGCATCCAAGACCTCACTGCGGATTGGACCTAGGACCTTACGGTGAGAAGGCGAGCTCGCAGAATATTCGGCCACTAGACTGGAATTCAATGACCCGTGAACCCTAACTTCTATCATTTGTTAGTTGATTGTGTTTTTGTGATTTTGATATTTATGGTTTTCTTTTAATTACTTTGATTTTTACTGTAGAATGGATTTACCCACTTACTGTAAATGTTATTCATAAACTGTATTTTGATAGTCCGATTGTTTGACTTGAAATCACTAGTTAAATAGTCTGCAATCTTCAGTTGAGACGGATACAAGGTGATATATTTGGCCACAACAAAAAAATAGCAGATGATGTATATATTAGTGGGGGATGACGATGTTACAGCCAGCCAGGATCAGACTGGGAAAGCAAGACAGGCGTTTAACACACTGCGATCACTGTGGAGATCTAAAGCATGTAGCACAAGGGGCAAGATCCTAATTCTTAAGTTAGTACTTACATGTGGCTCGGAGACCTGGCGCGTCAGTCACGACACGCATTTCCAACAGGCTACTATAGATTTTCATCAATAGCTAGCACCAACCAACAATCAGTTGTCCAGTAAATATGCAGAAGAAAATAGTGTGACTAGACTGACACTAAGGTGACCATTACAGCCCAGACAGTGGGGTGGAACGCGAATGGGATGCGACCAGTTGGGTGTCTGAGAATGGCATTGGAGGTGAGGGGGGGGATAATATGAAGAGGAAATGGAAGCTTGTGGGCAGTCGTGGGGAAAGTTGATAGGGATTGTGGAGAACAAAGTGGAATTGGGATGTGCAATCATGAAGCTATGTGTTCCGTTGGATACTCAAGGAATGCTCAGAAAACAATATTATTTTTAGTGGGGTTATGGATCATTGATGTAGGTGCGAAATCTCCGAACACTGGGTGACAGATTCAAATCCCACCCCATCTGCCGAGTTTTAGGTAGACAGGTAGTGTTAGTTTTCTCCGCACAAGAGATGTGTGGGTTATTGCCATCTGGATACAATTGCAACTGGTTAATGAGTAACATTCATATTTTTTAGTCACCCTTATTACTGATAGTGAATAGAAGATGGTTTGAGAGTGGATTACAAGAGGCACATAATTGTGTTGAAATGATACATGGATACATATGGATAATAATAATAACAATGATAATAATAGTAGTAACAATAATAATAACAATAATGATAATAATAATAATGATAATAGTAATAATAATAATGATAATTTTAATAAAAATAATAAAAGGAACAATAATAATGGTTTTCACGAGTTGATCATGGATTGATATCAGTTAGAGAACCATTGAAAACCAGGGAGTACTGGACAGTTGCTGTTTCATCCTAGTTTGGGAATCATCGGAAGTACACACCCACTGGGATTTGAACCCAGAACCTTCCGGTTACAAGGCAAGCTCGTATACCATTCTGTCTGTCTGTCTGTTTTCGACATAGAACTTTGCACAAATGTGCACCAGTTCAAGTCGCCACACTCCCTCCTTGTAGCACACAAAGCAAGAGAAGAAAGTACAAGAAAAGCATAATAGAAACAGTGAGCAGAGGTGTGAGACAAAGGAAGAGTAATAACGAAGAACAAAAGTTTCATTGGAGATCATATATCACAAGGAGTGGGTGCATCTGCGCCACTGAGAACGATTTTCAGCCATGTCACCAATTGTTTCCAACCATTGATTTTTACCGTCTCGAGGACCCCAGCCTGGAAGTCTACACCTTCCTACTGTTGTGGATTTCATTGACTGGTGAGGACATGTTTTGTTTGACCGCCGCTAGCTTTTTCCAGCCTGACCCTATATCCACTAACATTGCTCGTCGAGGGAGGCGATGGCTTGGCATACGTAACACATGTCCTAACCATCTCAGTCTTTGTAGCTTCACGACTTCGTCGATTGATTTCCCCTCCTTACCTAGAACTCTACGCCTAACCTCCATGTTGCTCACCTTATTATGCCACTTTACACGGGAAATAGAACGCAGGCACCTATGATCAAAGACAGCTAGTCTTTTCATGTCTTCCACTCTCAGTGGCCAGGTCTCACAGCTAGCCATAAAGGAGGACGGAGCGGACTGATGAGCAGTACACCCGCCCTTTGGTCGATAGTCGAACATCTCGTCTATACCATTCAGCCACTGGGACCCGATTCAATGGCCATCTCATGAATTCTAGCTTCCACCAATTCGTGATTTAGCGCGACCCCAACCATTGTCGTTGGTGGGACATCCATCCACACACGTGACATCTAATTGAACCTCACTGGTCACGACTTCTCACTAACCCTTACAAACCAAAACTATAGAAAATTAATCTAATGCTCGCTAGTGACTTACTACAGGTTGGAGTTTCCTGAGTTATAGTGAGAAGTCGTGACCAGTGAGGTCCAATTAGATGTCACGTGTGTGGATGGATGTCCCACCAACGACAATGGTTGGGGTCGCGCTAAATCACGAATTGGTGGAAGCTAGAATTCATGAGCTGGCCATTGAATCGGGTCCCAGTGGTTGAATGGTATACGAGCTTGCCTTGTAACCGGAAGGTTCTGGGTTCAAATCCCAGTGGGTGTGTACTTCCGATGATTCCCAAACTAGGATGAAACAGCAGCTGTCCAGTACTCCCTGGTTTTCAATGGTTCTGTAACTGATATCAATCCGTGATCAACTCGTAAAAACATAAGTAACCCTTAGAAACCAAAACTATAGAAAAAATAATAATGGTAATAATATTATTAATAACAGTAATAATAATAATGGTATTAATAATAATAGTAAGAATGACTAAATTGACTAGTATCATTATTCTTTTTAGAAAGAAATGTGTAAACCTCTCAATGTGCGGTGTTCATTTGTTATATTGCCGCCGTTTCTTTTCTTATCTTATCCATTCTTTAAGAAATGATTTCCAAATTATTCAGTATCCTGTAGTCTGCTTTTTAACCTTCAGAATAATCCATTTAGCCTTCATACAATTATTATCGTGTCACTAACCACAGATGTCTGCCTTCTACTTTCTGGATGAAATAGTGTAATATGGTGAGTAATACTGAAGTCAGGCTTAGGGTTCTACGTAAGATAAGGACAAGTCAATCGATGAGATTGTAAAGCTACGTCGACTGAGACGGCTAGGACGCGTATTACCCATGCCTTCTTCGTTGAACAATCTTAAGTGATATAAGATTAAGTTGGGAAGGAGTTGGAGATGATCAAATCTAAACCTGGCATCAATCGATGTAGTCAATGACTGTTGGTTTGAAACAACCATGTAGGGATGTCTAGGCAGCATGGCTTGGGGTCCTCGGAGTGATAAGGACCGCTTACTAGAGACTATTGATGATATGGTTCAAGGTCGTTCCCAATGGCACAGACGCATTCATTATTTGTGATTTCCCATATCCAGAGTTTAAAGATTTTGTGTAATATCATAAGAAAACTTATAAATTGACTAAATAGAATAATTGTACGCTTTATTTTTCTATTGTGATATTAGACTACTGATAGTTCTAAGTTGAAAGATTTTGCCCGTGTTCTCTTCTTCGGTTTAAATGGTCGCCTGTTCTATATAACAGATTTCGGGTAAGTTGTAATTAGATTTCTTTCTTGTACTCTAAACAGCTTTTGTATTTATCTCCTTATAAAATGAATGATAATAATTATCGCCTCATCTTAGCACAAAGTTAACGTGTTAGTTTTCAGTCATATTGAGAAAATACTTTAGCAGTATTCAAGCGTTAGTTTCACAGGGATTTGAGTGATTTCAATTTCGATACCGAATTGACCTCATTAAGAAAGTCACTAAAAACCAAGGGGTACAAGACAACCGCGTCGTTCTCGTTCGGGACTCTCCAGCAGTACGCACCCATAACCTTCAGGCACTGCGAAAAGATTCGATGGTCCATAAATTGTAACTTCTGCCACTTCGCGATATATAGAGCTACTGCTAGTCAGTGTCATCCGTGGGTATCCGTCCTCACGCCCAACTTGATGGACCCTGTTGATCACGACTTCCAACTAGAAATTCATGCAACCTCTCACCCTGTAATCAGTCACTAGGTTCAATCCACGGCCTAGTCATGGTTGTGTATGGGTGTGTGCTGATGAAGACTCCCAGACAATGCAGAAACAACTATCTTATTGAAATCAGTTCATCATCGATCTTGAAGTCGATCAAATCCTCACAAACCAATATCTGAGATATGAATCATTGGTTCAAGCGCCCTCTTTGAGCCACTTTACCCTGAGTCTCTCCTCGTGCTTCAAACTGAACAATTCGGTATCACTTACACCATTTATTTGATTCAATAGTCCGAAAAGTTAGTTGCAAGCAAGTGAGTTAACAAGAAAGGGCCACTGATAACTAGCTGTTGAGAACATTTGGAAGAGAAAGAGAGGCGAACTGCATCATAATATGGTTACTCTTTGAGAACTACTTAAAGCTACTGTTTGGTACATAACTAATTTATTCATACGGATTCATGTTCCTTGTCTTTTTAATTTTTCTCCTTGATATTATCGCCTGTTGTAACACGATAGATTAATATAGACTAGCTTTCGTATTTTCGTTATATAGGCATATATATACATACTGCCATACTAGCGATCCAATAATCCGTCAAGTACATCCCAGGATACTTAGGTCTTTCGAGGAAGCTGTTGCACTATTGCAGTCATCGGGATGTCTACTAAAACGTACAAGCTCAAAGCAGTGCGAAGTATTCTTCAAAGGTTATGTGACTTGTGGTATAAGTTCCGACCGGTCTTTTGTGGTAGTAGGAAACATTTCTGGTTGTCTTCTACTTATCAAAATTCTACAAGGTTGGTTTTTACTTTTACTTTTGATATTGATCATTGGTAGTGTACTGTAAGCTAGAGTCCCTTCTGTCTTTATTAAATTTTTAGACTATTTCAATATGACTAATGAGGTCACTTTTTGGAGGAAGGGGTACCTGTTTGGCTTAAGCCAATGTGTCCCGAATTTCAGTCCCTCTTCATCTACTTCCCACATAATGTGTGGCTTGCAGCATAGTAACTTAGTTCGCTATTCAAGTATTGGTTTGTAGGGATTTGGTTGATTGGTTACAGGATTTCATCATGAGCTGACATCAGTTAGAGAACCATTGGAAAACCTGGGAGTACTGGACAGCCTTTTCGTCCTAGTTTGGACTCTTCATCAGTACGCACAAACAGGGATTCGAACCCAGGACCTTCTGGTTACAAGGCAAGCGAGCTCGTATATCATTAAGCCACTGGGACCCGATCCAATGGCCCATGAATTCTAAATTCTGTCAATTCACGATATAGCGCAACCGCTAGTCAATGTCTTCGGCGAGTATTTGTCCTCACACCCGACCTGCTGCACCCTACTAACTAACTAGTGAAGTTTATTTATTTTTATAAGCTGTGTAGGCTTAGGTTGACTTAATTCAAGTATTGACAAGTCATACACACTTTTTGACTGTGTTATCTATTCAAATCAAGTCAAAGTGTGTCTTTTTAAGTGTGGTTGAGTGTAATTATGGCTTCTAAGTTGTTATTTAAACGATGATATCAGTCTGGTCGCTGTAATCTGTTGAAAATTTCTCAGTAGGTTAATGTCTTGTTTGAAACACCTGACTGTTTCGCTTCCCGTTAAGTCTCAGTCAGACTAGTATACAATCGGTGGATGGTGGCTAGCAGTGGAATCCAGGATGCGCATTTCGTCCTATTTGGGACTCGTCAGCTGGATGTACCTGCATTTCTCAGTGAGTGATGATGTTCCCACTGAGGCTCGAACCCAGTGCTCATAGTTTCAAACCCCAAAGCGTTATCCACTAGACCACTTGGGCCACGAGAGCCACCTCTTGTGCAACGGGTCATATTAATTATTGAATTGAATTTTTGATTTTCCCGTCGATTGATTGGACCGAAGTGCTCGGTCTCAGGTTGACATGTCGGCTTGACAGTCAGACTGTTTCAAATTAACTAACTTCCTGTCGGACATCAGTCAGTCGTCTAAACTAAATGGCCTCATGCTGAATCCCTCAAAATGCCAGACTACTGACTTCTCCTTTAGGCATAAATTAGATCTACAAACACTAGTAAGCACTCATGAAGACTGTAACATTGAGGGGACTAAAATTGAAACTAAGTCTAATGCAAAATACCTCGGATTAGTTCTATGTTCCGACCTTACTTGATCATTTCATATCCAAATGATTTCTAAGAAAGTGTTTCGTCTAACCTACTACATTAAGAAACTCAGACTGACTGGAATCACTCAACCTCTGCTCTCACAATTTGTCAACTCTCGTATCTTACCTATTCTACTTTACTGCTCCCCATTAGTTTTTCCTGGGTTGCTGAAAAAAAGACTATACCATCCTGAGAAGGATGTTAAAGATAGTTAGTAGGACTAGTGGTGTAAAACTCAGTCAGCTCGTCACTACATTAGTAGATAAGCATCTGAATACATGAGAAAAATGGTCCAAAACCATACTCTCCGACCCCCAACACCCCCTCTATTCCCAACTCTCTCCTTGCATCTCATCAGGTAGAACCAGAAATCAGTACAAAATAATATGTGCTCGTACAACCAAGTATAGGAACTCAACGATACCATATTTGACCCGTGTTCTAGGTGACAGAGACAATGTTAAGCGCGAAAGCTATGACTTCCTTTGTTGTTAATAACATAATTTCGGCCCTTTCTATTTCCCCCTTATACTCTCTTATTTGTACTCTATAGTGAACAACCTTCTTAAACATAATTAGCTACTTAATATTATTATTATTGGCTTACTCTTTTTTACTTAACTCTATTCCTTCTTTTTTATATCTACTGGGTCCGACTATATTATCACTATGGTTATTACAAAATTGTCCTATCATTAACCATCATGTAATATTAGTTTTGTGATTGTTTGTTTTTGTTCGGCAATATTAAACTGACAATCTTGGTTGTGAACGCCGTTATCACCATCCTAAAATTTTTGTATTATGCATGATTACTCACGCTACCATAACAAACACCGCATTAGTGCTTACAATAAAAACCCTGAAATGTTTATTTTATGATTGTTTAGTGTTGTTCAATCAAATTAACTGATCATCTTGGCTATAAACATTCTTAAGAACATCTCATAATTTCTTGTATGATTATAGCTGTTACTGTTCACCATGCATACACATATCATAGCTTCCACTACTAAATACTGAAATATTATTCATTATTGGTGTTTATCTTCCTTTCTACTTGGTATTTTTATTTGCATTTTTTGTTATTTTTGTGTTTCTTTTTGGTTTTGTTATTTTTTAAAATTTTTTTGTAATACTCCTTTTAAATGTGCGATGAAATTAGATGCAATATATTGTAGACATGTGCTGAAAATTCCACACTGTACCAGTAGTACTGTTTCTGGAATAAAAGCGAAATTATTATTATTATTCATGCTGGTTATTTTAAGCTGTTGATCATGCCCATAAGTCAAATAATATTTTCAGCTTACGAATTTCGTGTGCATTTTCAGCAGATAAGAATCGTTTTTGTCAACATTCGGTTACCTGACTATCTTTGTGTGTTTACTTTCTTCAGTAATTTGGAGTTTAAGGTTAGACTTGTTTTTCTATTTTCCAGACAGTGGGTATTTAATTTTTTGGAATAATAATTTTCTGTTTTTAATTTAGACTCACCTTTTATGGAGTTGTTGGATATTATAACTGTCAATGATAAAGTTATGAAAATTGTGTGGATTAGTTCGTCACACATAGTAACTGGACTTCCTAATGGCGATTCTGTGAGTTCAAGTATTTGTCTCAACTGCAGTAATTTTGAAGCTATAAATCTCGAAATTTTGGAGTTCAGATGCTTATTACCTATAATACAGTGAGAGATGTGAGGCTGTTTAAATCAAATAAACAATACAGGTTTGTCTGAAGTCTGGAATCACAGTTAAGTTTAAAAAGTCCGAAATCTTGCCGACAGAGTGAAAAAGCATATGTTAAATTAAATGGTCTATGAAACAGATTAAAGGCAGTGTATTGTCGTCACCAAATAAGGAGCGAAGTAGTGAAATGGAATTGTATTCATCTGATGAATGTCTGAAAGTAATCATGATTCAAAAACAACTAAATGCCTCTTACACACCTTGCCGTATTCACTATTCATTCAAGTATACTTCAGTTAGCTTCAGCGAAATGCTCTGGTTCCATCTTTAATGTTTTACCTTTTTTCATTTCTTGCGTTCCGAATGGAACCATAGGACTACAAACTGTGAAGTTTCAGTAGTGGTGGTATTTTCTCTTAAGGGGTGAGGTTGCTAACCTCACGCCCAACCTAACCTCTTTCTGGGACTCACTGCTGGCCAGTGAACTAGATGAGGTTGGAGAATGCGTCAATCGGGAATCAAACGCAGACCATATTCGTGGCTGGCGCAGATTCTGCCACCGAATCACTGGTGCATTGTCCCCTCTTTAATGCACATGCTTATTTCTTTGAATTATCTTGTTGATCTGAGATTATTCAGGTTTAGAAATAGTATATTACACAGACTACCAATTGGATTTGACTTTGCTAACAGTAGCATTCGGAGGATTTCTTATTGAATTGTTATAAAATAAGTAGTTTCGTTTTGTATGAGTAAATTTATAACTGAGAATTTTATTGGCGGTTTTCCTACTGCAAATGAAAAGTATATTCAAATAATAGTAATAATATCATACATTTGCTCCCTCAAGTACATTGGAAGGACGGAAAGCTGACCTTCAATCAGGTTTTCTGAACATATTCCAAAAAACCTGTTCCTGAAATGAAGCAAATATTCTCAGAGTGCAATTACCAGACATATTGTTGATACCGGCCATCTCGTAGAGATTTCTAAGTCCTTCAAAATATTAAATAGACAAAGGATAACAAATTTACTACGGTTTGCCGAAGTGATCGCGATCAAACGATTTAAACCGGACTTATGCATACAGAAAGAGAGTGTGATTAACCTCTCACACCCTTGGTAACTGAATTTCGATTTCGATTACATCACTTAGTCGTCTAATTCAGTGATATCAAGTCACTGAACAAATCTTAATCTTCGTAAACTGTAACCGCTTTTGTTTTTTGAGTTGCTATATGAACCTACAAGCTAACACTGTTCTGTTAATTAAGTTTTTCCGTTTTCTGTCTTATCCTTCCCCACTTCTTTGAAAGAGTATAAATTGATGATGAAATCTTAAACTAAAAATTGTAATGCTTTCATTTTGGATGCGTCACTTTTATAGTATCTCTTCTCTACTACCACTCAAACATTAAAGTGTATTATTATCACCTATATAACCATAGTAATTCCAGGTAGTCTGCAGCTGATGAGAACCTGTGAAATAGAATGATATCATTTTATAGTACAAATTTCGTCTTCCCTTGTCTATCGAAAAACAATAATATCTTTATTCTGGACAGTATTTATAAAATGTACAGAATTTCAGATGAGTTTTTTGAATGATGATTTCCCTTCGTACAATATCTTCAAGTGAAATATTAATTGATAGTAGTATATCCTGTGACACAATGGTCTCTGAGCACTGAAGCACAAACCATTCCATGATGATATGTATCTGCTTCGTCTCCTTCAAGAAATCCACGATATCTATCTAGTTGAAAGCCATTTGTAAGATGTTCAGAAGTACATTTTGAGACCCTAGGGACATAACTGAAGAACAGTTATCTCATGTATTGGAACACGTTGCCACGCACAACCAGTTGATTCTTGAAGTTAAATAGGAACTTGCGAATAAGTGTGGTGAGAGCAAGCTGCTAGCCAATTGGTAGACATTAATCCACGTCAATGTCTAGGTCACTAATATTGGCCGTGAGAAAATATGAACAAGACTGATTCAACAACCAATCACAGCAAACTCAACGTGGACAAATATGATTCTCAGTTAGATGGCTCCACTTTTCGATGGTTTCCCGAAACAACCAATCAGAAGACTTCGTTTGTCTACTTGAATAAGCTATAATAATGTACAGGAAATATATATAAATACGTGTTGATTTCCGTAATAAAAGGATCTATTGCCGGCCCTTGTCTTCTGTTGTTACATAAGAAGCTCGTAAGCATTTTAAATATACGCAAGAGTAGATAATGGCAAAGTTCAACATTAGAGTCCCGAGGGGGATGTAAACGCACGAGTGACCTTCAGCCGATGAATCATAAAAATAAATGATTTTTGGAGCACAGAAATGACGTATATTTACAAGAAAATGCATGAAAACACATTAAAAAGGATATCCTTTTTGACATGATTTAAAGATACGTCCCAGTTATAATGAGGAGTATCAATTGCTGAGTTAGACTAGTTTTTGTAAATGTATTCACAGAGGTGACTGAAGATAAGCTTTTTTTGTGAATCGTTTATCTCTGTTCTATTGTTGTGCTGCAGTCTTTCCCGAAAGCCCTCGGTTGAATTACTTTGGTTTCCAGTAGGAGGACCGATTACTACTTGGTAGAAAGATGTGGATAATAAAACAAATTCAAATAAATGACATCAACTCTAAATCTATCCCTAGTCGTAACCCTAACCTTAATCCTGAACCTAACCCTAAACTTAACACTAACCCTAATTACTACCCTTGTCCTAACCGTAAACCTAACTCTAATGCTAATTATGACCCTGTTCCTAACCCTAACAAGCTGTCAACACATTGTTCAAACATTACTTGAGAACGTGATCTGAGTGAAATTTTCTGCTTAGTCGTTGAATAGCTTTGATATTTCAGCTATGATAATGACATGCCCGTTAGCCAACGACTAGCGTGCGTTCAACGTCATTGAAGCGTTCGCACTCCTGGGACGCTATTGTTGAACTTTGCCTAGATAATACCAATAGAGATCATATCTCAATCGATTAAAACAAACCAAACAAGAGAAAATATATGCAACAGAGAAAGATGGAAATTTTGGTAGCCCAAGTTTTTGTTAGCAGTAAATGTTGAAGGTGATTTTGTCAATTTTTTTGTGATTATGGTCTTTTATGCTTTTATCGTCTCTAATCTCTCTTTTTTAAAGTTGCTTATCCGTTTGGTAAAAGCTGAGAATACAATAACATTCAGTAAAATATTTATTACTCTTCAAGTACCAGATAGTTCTAAAGGCATGAAATGGTTGAATGCAGCATCTGAGTTAATCAAACATCATTCTATCGGTAATAACTCCGTTGATGATGACAGGATTCTAGTCACTGGTTCCCGTGATGGTGGGATTTTCTCATACGTATTCAATGTGAGTGACTGTTTTGCCTTTAATATTTTTTCTTTTCTACTGTACCGTGTAGACAGCTGTTTAAATAAGTAACATAAACAAACATAACAAATAATAGGTGTAAAATGAGGAGTAGGAGATTTCGTAACTGGACTAATTATTGAAACAGAGACATTTATTAACAATGTAAAACTTAGCATTATAATCTTTATTATCCTTTTTGGTCCCCGTGGAACATAGGGCTTCAACAGCACATTTCTGTTTCATCCTGTTCTTTGCATTCCTTTTTAGATGGCTCCGATGATTGCCTATAAGCTTTCATCTCCTCCTCATATGATCTCTTGCATTTTACCCTCGGAACACAGCCCAACTCGTCGTTTTTCATTCAGATTTGTCTCAAGGGCTTGGAGTGTGATCATCTCACTGTGTGTCCGATTCATCTCCATTTCCTTCAATATATTTGTCGGAGAATAGATTGTATGTTGGCTCGTTCCCAGAGTTCCTGGTTGTTTGTCTAACTTTCTGGTTGGCAATTTGATCTTCAGTATGGGGCGAATGCAGCAGCCTGTCGGAAATACTTTTGGTGATACACCAAATCTCTGAACCTCGCGTAGGTTGGATGTGGGACTATCAACCCCATCGCGGAGAATCAACTCACTTGGTACAGGAACTTCAAAGCACATAAAAAATATTTAAAAACAAACGCAGCATTTTATTGAACAATAGTCCAGGTTGACACGCCTCACAAATGTGTATCTCTGTCGATTATAAGATGATTAAAGAGTCCATTTTTTCAGGTATTGGTTTGTAGGGATTTGGTTGATTGATTACAGTTACAAACCAATACCTGAATATCAATGAGATGCTTACTGGCGACTGGCGACAGGTAGGTTCCAGTGGGAAGTCGTGACCAGTACTGTGCAGTAGGTCGGGTGTGAGGACAAATACTCGTCGAAGACATTGGCTAGCGGTTGTGCTGCTATATCGTGAATTGGCAGAAGTTAGAATTCATGGGCCATTGAATCGGGTCCCAGTGGCTTAATGATCTACGAGCTCGCTAGCCTTGTAACCAGAAGGTCCTGGGTTCGAATCCCTGTGGGTGTGTACTGCTGAAGAGTCCAAACTAGGACGAAAAAGCTGTCTAGTACTCCTTGGTTTTCAATGGTTCTCTAACTGATGTCAGCTCATGATGAAATCCTGTAACCAGTCAATTTTTTGTTGAAGCAAATAATAAAACAACAGAAGGAAAAAAAAGTAAAGTGATTAACAGCAAGATTTGACGTTACTAATTAGGTGAAATTCGGGCATCTGCGAGACTGAGACCGATTTTCAGTCATATTGCCTACAGTCTCTAACTTGATGCAACCTTTTATGACTCTGGATCAGCAAGCCTAAAAATTGATCAAAACAAAACAATAACGCTAACTCACTTCTTACTTAAAGCTGTGAATAAAATTCTTCATTATCCTCGTGGAAAGGCAATAATAGTGAAAAACATTAAACCCTGTGAAATAATCGTGTTTCATAGGTAATATAATAAAATACACGAATTTCAATAGGTAATCGAATATTCATCTGGTGGCATAAGTTAAAATAGTCTAAAAAGCTAGAGGCTTGAAGTTTCTGTAGCATTGGTGATTGTTTTTACAGGATGGAGTTGCTAGCCTCATGCTTAACCTTTCCTTCTTACCAGCTTTTATTACTGGCTTAGAGAAGTAATGGAGTGCGTCGGTGGCCGCGGATCGAACCCCGGAGCGTGTAGATAGTCGGCGAGCGTCCTAACCGCTGTGCCACCGATACACCTATGTTGAAATAGTCTATTTGAATTCTACAAGATTTAATGGGTGTACATATTATATCACAGATTATGCAATATATTCGACTTATTTCAACACTATTGTCTGAATATATTCAGTTCGTGACTGCTTACAAGCAATGCTTGAATTTAAGCATATGCGCTAGTCAATTCTGAGGGATCATTGAGTGTTTCTCATCTCTTTCTGAAACTAAGGGTTTCGTCATTTTTGTGTTTATATATATATATATATATATATATATATAGTGAAATAATGAACACATTCTTTCCTGTTTTGCAAAGATTTCAGTTGATACCAATAAACCGCACAGTCCAGTATGGTTATGGAAATCATGTCATCGACCTGGTGGTTGTATATCAATACTTGTTGTTAAACAGCATTCACATGCTAGTCTTTTTACTTGTGGACGAACATACGGAGAAGTTAAGCACTGGTCTGTTCAGTCCAATGGTGCATTATATCTTTTTGGAACAATTCTAAGATCTGAACATATGACATGGATTGATAAGCTGTATCGTTCAGATGGGGATAAAATATATGCTTTAGGATTTCAGTCGGTAAGAAAGTTATTTCCTTTGTATTCTCTTTTGAACTAACCTGTGTTACTCCTATATACAATAGAAGAGAAGGGCCAGGCAGCAGATCGTTTATTGAGGAAATCAAAAGATATTTATAGATTTTTATGTACATTATTGTCGGCGGAGAAGCAACGTCCTCTCATTGGTTGTTTTCTTGCTGAAGGTTATGCTGTACTGCTTGTAACCGTTTCTTACAAAGTTAAGTCATTATATCTGCGAATCGTATTTGAACACTTTGAGTTTTCTGTGATTGGTTGTTGAGTTCATCAAGGTTAGGTTTTGCTCTTGTTTTTTTTCTCATGACGCTGATTTGGGACGTAAACATTGACGTAAATAGTTGCTAACAGTTTTGTCTTTCAGACAGCTCTCACCACACCATTAGTTCTAGCTAACATGTAAATCAAGAAAACTCGAGACTTGTTCGCTATCCCACTGTATAATATCACTGCATAATACGTAGAATACTGAAACTTTAATCTTGTTGAATGTCAGTTTCATAGCGTAATTCAGTAATATAAGCATTCATTATCATGAGAGAACGAGGTCAATAGAAATCTTTATATTTCGATTTGACACTAGTAACTAGTGTGATGTGTCTAGTCCTCTCATTGGTGCAGACTGAATTCTATCAGTCAGGTTTGCAATGTGGCCGCCATTTTTGGGTAACTCGCCATCACGGTGCACGTTGATTTGATGATATTAAGTGGTTGGAGGCAATCGGCAGGAAGGCTTGGACCTAGGTTTCGTGCTAGTTGGCACTCGTCAGCAAGGTGTATCTTCAACCCTGAAGGAACTCATGTCCCTTCTCAGATTCGAACCCGCGTCACCCAGTGCTGCATTCAGAGATGTTACCACTGAGCTATTCGGGCTCGCGAAATCTTTATGGCTAAGCATTTTATTCGATTTTAAATTGTACTCTTTGCATAACCTGTTTATCGAAGAAGAAATTAGATAAAAAAACAATTACTTCCGAAAATTGTGTATAAATAAACGACTCATGTATGAAACGCATCTTATATCTTTACTTCTAAAATAAATTAAACTGATGAATAGGGCTTAACAATTCTGTCTTATCCCATCATCCTGACCATTAGCTACTACCTTGACATGGTGGTCAGGATGGCATATCTCAATGACCCAACTAGCTACACTAGTTGGAACTCATTTTCCTTCAGGTCCTACCATGTCACAAAGGTTGTTTAGATAGTAATTAGACTAAAAGCAGTTACCGTCATGATATGAATTGTTTACTCCTGTGGACGAACACGTGCTACTGGGGAACAAGTATGTAACAGCAGTAAAGTGTTTCCCTTTGATGGCTGGCATGCCTGCCACCTATGATGACTTTCTGTCCTGAAGGTCGACTCCGAAATTTGTACATCCCGACTTACCTTAAGGTGGTCCACAACCGGCTGTAAGGTCTTAATACGGACGCAACTCCGAAAACCAATTCAAATAGGCCATGTGTGACTGACCTCAAGTATTTGTCCCGTGGAGTGGTGGTTGCACAACACTAATGCTGTTTCTGTTTCAGGTACCCCAAGGAAAAATAAACTTTCACGGTGTGGACAGCCGGAAAGTAAAAACTGCCCACACACCTTCAAATATACACAAAGCTCTTCACTTTCTTATTCCTTCGACATGTAGATGTCGTCAGTCTTTAGGCATAGCTATGACTGTTTAACACATATTTTAGCTAATAAATAAATGCGAGTAGCTTGTGAAGCCTAGTGTCTAAGATTTTTTCTGACTTTTCGCTCTGTAAGTGGTGGTTTGCAGGGGTCTGATTAGTTTCAAGTCAGGTCAAGGATTGACATCACTTACTGGGAGTACTTGACTCATAGCCTCTCACCCGTAAAACTGCTCTCTATTTTTAGTTTCTCCAGCTTCCTGTTCTGCTAATTTTCGTTTGATTTCTCGTTAAACTCTTTCAAAGTTATCATCACAATGTTTATACTTCCACTAAAAGGAGAAGTTACTAAAAGCCTGTCAGGCTATTTAAAAAATTTTTTTTTGTATAGACGGTTGTATTCAGTCATTGACCTGTACTCCTTATGAAACATAGATAACTTTGTTTGGTTTTCATGATGCATTGAATATATTCTGATGGCTGGTGTTTTCACATTTCAGAGTAACATATGCGTATACCGATATTTAACCTTTTCTACGGAGAGTATATTTTCTGTATTTCTTTCATGTCATTCATTTTGTGTAGAAATATTTCAAAGCAATTTCGCTAAATCATAAATGCTTAAAAGATGACAATCACTTGAATTGGTCATTGATGTGTCCAGTTCGTTCAGGTGGTTGTTTTCTTGTCGACTGTGCTGGTGGAAATCATTACTGGGATTGGTTTTTACCCAATAGCATAAAAATAACAAAAACCACTGCAAATGAAATCGAAACACCCAAAAATTCTGTTCGTGATTATCAAGATGATAGTGAACATATGACGAAGTGTTTTTCTCCTTTGTTTGCAAGTATTAATCGAGGTAGAGTGTTAATTCATTCAGATGTGCAAAATTGTATATCATGTGAACAGAATAAGTGCTGTCCAACGCCTATCTATTTACGTGTAAGTTTAAATGTTTTGATAGTTATTGAAAGTTATCTAGTTCTGCGTTCTCATCTCTCTTCTATTGACAGTGTTAGACGGGTTGATAAGCTGTCCATATACATAGTATTATGAGTGAACTAGAATTCAGACACATTTATCCTCTACCTTAACTTTATAGACTTTGACAAGGCCTTCGACAGCGTTGACCGCGAAGTAATTTGGAAACTACTCGAGTACTACGGCGTACCCCAAATATTCATCAACCTTAATCGACAGCTGTACAACAACAGAACATGTCAAGTGATCCACAACGGAAAACTCAACGAGGTGTTTGGAATAAACACAGGAGTCAGACAAGGGTGCCTGTCTATTATCACCAATGATATTCCTAATTGTGGTGGACTGGATTATGCGTCAGACAGTGAGTGGGAAACGAGAAGATAGGGATATCCTGAACCGACGTGAAGAACCTAGAAGACCTGGATTTCGCGGATGATTTATGTTTGATGTCACACAAAATCGAAGACTTACCAGCGAAAACCGACAAACTGGTCGAAGAAGCAGCCGGCGAAGACAGGACTCCAGGTGAACATAGACAAGACGGAGGTTATGAAAATAACCAATCAACCAACAACGACAACAGCAGCAACATCCATCACCAATCACCATCAACTGGGGGATTTGAAAGAGGTTACTTTATTCACCTATCTAGGGAGCGTTGTCTCAACTGCAGGAAGTTGGAACGGACGAGGATGTCAAATCGAGCGAGAATCAGGAAGGCGAGAAACACATTCATCAACCTGAAACCAATCTGGAAATCTTCGTCACTCAGCCAGCATCAACAACAAAATTCGCTCGGATTTTCAATACAAACAACGTCAAGTCAGTCACTTCTTCTATACGGATCAGAAACTTAGCGAGTGGGTCACAAAGAATATTTCCAACAGCCTGTTGCAGACCTTCATCAATCAACAACTGTCTTCGGTTTATACTGTAGATCAGGTGGCCGGGCCGGAAAGAATCACCAACAAGAAACTATGGGAACAAACAAAAGAAGAAGTAATCGCCCAACAAATATGCAGGAGAAAGTGGAGATGGATTGAATACTCGTTGAGGAGACCGCTGGGTGACATCGCATGTCAGGCCATCTCTCGAGTGGAACCCGAAAGGGAAACGGCGAGTGGGACGTCGGTGAAAGGGTGACATGGAGGAGATCGTGTGAAAAGGAGTTGAACTAATAGAGGAGTATGGACTAAGATGGATGCAGGTGAAAAGTACAGCAGAAGACAGAAGCAAGTAGCGACGAGCAGTTGAAGCCCTATGCTCCACTAGGAATCCAAGGGAACAATAATAATATCCTTTTCAATAGTTGTTTTGTAAGGATTAGATTTGTTTTTACGAGTTGATCACGGATTTATGTCAGTTAGAGAACCATTGACACCCAACAGGGAGTACTGTACTGCTCTTTCAACATAGTTTCGAGCTCATCGGTAGTACGCACCTACCGCCAAGGTTTGAACCCAGGACCTTCCGGTGACAAGGCAGGCTCGTATACCATTCAGTCACTGGGACGTGATTCAATGGCATATGAATTCTAAATTCTACCATTTCGTGATTTAGCGCGACCACCAATCAAAGTCATAGGTGGGAACTTCATCCTCATTCCCTACTGGATGAACCTCACTAGTCGTGACTTCTCAATAGAACTCCAGGAAACTCCACCCTTTGGCAAATCACCAGTGAGCATCAGATTAATTTTCAATAGTTGGTTTGTAAGGATTAGAATTGTTTTTACGATTTTTCAATGGTTCGCTAACTGATATCAATCCGTGATCAACGCGTAAAAACATTTATTCTAGCGTATTTAGATAGCTTTTAAACCTGTCTTATTCTAACAATCGTTTGTGTATCCCTTTCGATATTGATGATTGTATTATATATTCCTTACACATTAAGTGCATCCCATTGTCTATACTAGCACAGAATTGTTAAAGGCACGGAAAAATACTAACCGTTAAATCTCTCATGACTTGTCATTACACATGAAAACTCGCATTTTATTCCTTTAAATCCGGTAATTTAGAAATCATTTTATATTTTTATATCTGAAGGAGTATATTTTCACAAACATAAAATTATGAACTTTCTTATCAAATTAATGTATAGCCAATTAAACGACCAAGTTTATTCAGCATTGAGAGAAAAAAGAATAATAGAAAGTGTTATTCAACAACAACTTGAAATCCCATGTAGTTGGCAATCAGCCACACTTGTTGTGTGTGAGGGTTGAGGGCTGTCCAAACCTCGACAGACGGAGTGTGTTTCGAAACCTCGACCAATGAGTCACAGTTTCAGATTTAGTATTGATGTTTAATCTGTCTGATGACTACTGCTGGGGGATCAACCAAAAGCAGAAACCCGACCATAACATCCATCTTTCGTCTACTAAACTGTCTGTTATTATTATTCATTCCTTGAGTTCCGAGTGAAACGTAGGGTTTCAGCGGTACATCTTCATTGCACTCTTCTCGGCAGTCGCTTTCAAATGATTCCACGACTACCCACAAACCTTCGTCTCCTTCTATATTCTCTTCCATACCACCTTTGGCTGCTCAACTCGTCACTTTCCTCAATGGTCTGGAGCATGATATCACCCAATGCGGTTTCTTCAGCAAATATCCAATCAATCTGCATTGCTGTCTGCATATTTGTTGGACATCGAGTTGTTGACTAGTTCACTGAACTACAAGAGTTCTTTGTTGGTTTTCTTCTCTAGTCATCTGATTTTCAGTATCGAGTGATGGAAGCAGCTGTTGATGAAAGTCTGCAGTAGCCTATGGTCAGTGTTTTTGGTGACGAGTTTGCTAAGCTTCTTCACTAATACAGAAACATTGACTTGGAACTATTGTTATGAATTCGTATTTTATTATTTGTACTACGTGTCGTAGAGGTCCACACTGGTTTTAGAGTAATGAACGCTTATCTTGCTTTCTCGATCTTGGTTTGGACAACCAGATCCGAAGTGCATATAGTTTAAACGTTGCCTTCCGTGTAAGTGAAAAAGATGGTTTCCTTGAGATTTCTCCTGTTGATGGTGATTAATTTTTGTTATTGTTTGTTTGTCTTCTCTATTTCACCTGAAGTACTGCGTATCTTCCCTGTTTTATTTACTAACTCATCGGTTTTTGCTTGTTAATATTAGAATTTTTGAGATATGAGACATAAATCATCTGCGAAATCCAGGTCTTCTAGGATCTTTTTGTCTGTCTGTGTTATTTCCTACTCACCACTAATATTACTTTACTTACTTTTAAGTTCATCCTAAATTTTTATTTGACCTATTTTAATGCATTTAATTTCTCTGTGTTATATGCCAAATTAATTTTAGCATTCACTTCACGGTGAAACAATTAACAGCTGTTTGTTACTTAACAAATTTGATCTATCCAATAAGAAGGACTATTTTCAAGGTCAGTTATATATTTAATTGAATTTCAGATTTTCCCGTCGATTGGTTGGACCGAAGTGCTTGGTCTCAGGTTGACATGTCGGCTTCTTGAGCAGATGCTTCGAAGATGTCTGGGCATTTAATTAGCATTTAATTGGTGGATGGTGACTAGCAGTGGAATCCAGGATGCGCATCATCAGTCACTGAGAAATGCAAGTACATCCAGCTGAAGAGTCCCAAGTAAAACGAAATGCGCATCCTGGATTCCACTGCTAGTCACTATCCACCAATTAAATGTCAGTTATGTATTTTTAAAAAACAAAAGTATTTAAAATTCATTGCATGTCAGAATTACAAAGGTATTAATAATAATAAGTTTGATCTCTGTATTGAACAATTAATAATACCTATGTTATATGCCTTGAGCTCATAATTGGCCATTACAGCCAATAATCTTGCTATCATCATTCCTTTTGGTGCCCTGCTTATTTTTGTTTAGTAGTCAGTTTCAAGGGAGAAGTTTTTTGTTTAAGCTAAGTAGGGTAAATGATGTTGCTCAGAGTCAATAACACAGATACATAGATGCTTCCAAACTGCATCATTTTTTAAAATGGTAGGAATCTTATGCACGAAAATGTAAGTGCAAGTGATTTGCTTTTATTGCTTCACGTTTCCAGTGTAGCATAGGGCTTCAAGCTAGAGGCTTGAAGTTTCTGTAGCAGTGGTGATTATTTTTACAGGGTGGGGTTGCGAGCATCATGCCCAACCTTCCGTCTTTGCAAGTTGTATTACTTGGTTTAGCGAGGTAATGGAGTGTGTCGGTGGCCGGGGGTCGAACCCCGGACCATGTGTATCGACGACGAGCGTCCTAACCGCTGCGCTACCGACGCACAAATGATTTTCTAGGTGATATGAATTTTCAACGAATTAATTTACATAATTTTCCCATTGCTCAACCAAAACACATACAAAAATAGAATTCGTATAACCATCTAGGCAGCATCAGTTCATGGGCTGTTTTCAATTTCTATTTTATTTGTAGACGTTTCCAGTAATGAAGAAGTCGAGTTGTATTGTTTAGCTGGTGGAGAGGATACTACTTTATCATCTTGGCGAATTTCGTTACCGGTAGCTCAAAATGCTACGAACTCGAAAGGTAGGTTGTTTGTTCTAAAACCACTTTGATATGTTTAAGCTTTACTTCATCAGTAGGACAGTTGGCTACTTATTCGTATAAACTTATGGTAAACTCACTAATTTTGGGAATGATAGTGATTGTAGTGACTTGTAGTTAAGCATCACGTGTGTCAATTTATCACAGGCTGGTGTTTTGGTAGTCATGTGAATGTTAAACGCTGGAGAAAACCAGTCTATAGGAAAATGTGCACCTCGATTTCAGGTTCGCATTCACCGATAAAGTACCCCGGTCACTTTGAGGGAATCTAGATTTCCAGTGGGAAAACTGCATCTCGCAGTTCTGAAGTTAAAGGTTTTACTGCTGACATTTTAAAACTAGGAATGGCACTATTTAAAACTAAGATATTTTTGCAGTGTAAACCATGACTGGATGCAGAGATAAAAATACTTCATGGGTGACTAATCTCCATTACACTCATACCATTTATTAGGTTTTCCTAATGTGCTTTGCATTGAGGAGTACTTTGTGCTAATGAAACCTTGTGTATCTGTTGCATGACTGGAGACTATGTTCTATTATGATTCATCCAGGTAGTTAAGCAGAATTTGAGCGTCAAGTTAGAGAACCGTTAGCAGCCAGGAAATGCTGGACAGCTGTTCCATCCTAGTTCGGGACTCTTCAGTGGCATACACTTGTGACTTCATTGGGGATGGAAGCAAGGATCTGTTCACCGCATAGCCATTGATGCGGAATCCGACCATCGGTGAATTTTAACTTCTGTTAATTTGTTATTTGAAGGATTTTGTTTTTCTGCCTCATCGTCCAAGTTGGATGGTCTAACCAATTCATTTCGATTGAACTTCCTTCATTTTTTCATTCAGAACGCTGTTTATGTAATTACTGTGGAAAGTCAGCCTTAACCAAGTATAAAACTTTCAAATTAACTGAATAGATCTCATAGCAGGTGAAGAATCATTATTCACTAATCGGTGCTCATGTTTACTATGCGTTTATTTATTATCGTTCAAATAGTCCATTGACTCAACCAAATACATTTAGTACAAGTACTGTAGTATTTATTTTAATTACTGAACCGAACCCTAACAATTAATCTCATATTATTTTGTTTCTCTTGCACGCAGAGCCAATATTCAATTCTCTTTTTCACCATCGTGGTCACATATCAAATATTCGTTGTATAACATTGCCTGTCATTTATACTAATAACAGATCTTCAGATGAGGTAGTTATTCCTAGACAATACATTGTTAGTGCTGGTGGCCGTGGTCAAATTTGTTTATGGCGATTACTATCACCAGATGAGACAGTGAAGACAACAGAAAAGTATCAAGGGTCAATTTCTCTAGGTTTCCTAGGTTCCAAGAAGATTCGACACGACGAATGTTACCTAGTTGATAATCCTCCTGATTACGATAACAATAATAATAATAATAATGTCAGTGATCCAGTCCATGATTATGATGAATTTAATGGTGAAAAAACGTCCAAATGTAAAAAAGTTGTTGTATCCAGTGATCTACGTATTATGGCTATGGTTTGTGTTCAGATTACTCGAGAAGAATGTCAAATGATAGATGATTTGTTGGTTATTGCCGGTTGTTCTGACGGATATGTACGGTAAATCACTTGGATTTCGTAGTTTTAAACTGTTTTTACCAGTTCAAACCTGTGTAGGCGTTGGGTGTTTCAACTGTCGGTGTGGAGTGTGTTATTATGTTATGTATCAATCCTTGTTGTTCTTGTTTTAAACTTAATAAGAAGAAAAAAAAGGCACCAACATAAACTACTTAAAGAGTAATTACAATTTGAGGAGTGAAGGGAAAATCACATACTACTGATTACTGAAGTCAAGGGAACATCTAACACGAAACTATCTGTTTCTTTAAGCAGTTCATGTTTGTTTCAGCTGTATAAAACATTCTCCACAACTCTTTAAAAATTTACTGACTGACTGACTGACTGGTTTCATCGTGGAAAATTGCACCGATGTGCAGCATTTCGAGTTGCCATACTCCATGTAGCACACAAAGCAAGGGAGGAAAGTTAAAAGAAATGCATAATAGTGCAGTGAACAGAGATATGAGACAAAAAAAATAGTAGTATTGAAGAACAATATAGTTTTGTTGGGTATTAAAAGTCACAAGGAGTGGATGCATCTGCACCAGCCATTGAGAACGATTTTGAGCCATATCACAATCTGTCTCCAGCCATTGGTCTTTACTATCCCGAGGACCCCAACCAGTCGGGAAGTCTACACCTTCCCACGTGACTGGCTTAAACTAACTGATGTGGATTTCATTGACTGATGCTATGTTTTGACTTGAACATCACTAGCTCTTTTCTAACCTGATCCTATATCAGCTAACATTGGCCGTCGAAGGAGGCGATGATTAGCCATACGTAACATATCAGTCAATGCAACTTCTGTCTCTCGCGTTAAGTGGTATAATATGGTGAGCAGTATCGAGGGTAGGCGCATGGTGGTGATAGGTAAGGAAGGGGAGTCAATTGACAATACTGTAAAGGTACATCGATTGAGATGACTAGGACACATTCATGTGTCATGCGCTTGCGTAGCCACCGCCTTCCTCGACGAACAATGTTAGCTGACATAGGATTATTAGGTTGGAAAAAAGTTAGGGTTGGTTAAATCAAAAGTTGAAATCAATCTGTAAAGTCTTTGGATGCTGGTTTGATCCACATAGGGTTGTGTAGACTGTCCAACTGGACTCTTTGGGACGCTAAGAATCAATGGCTGAAGACTGCTCGTGACATGGCTAGAAACTGTTCTCAGTGCCACAGGTACGTTGACTCTTTGTAGTCTCCCAGATTCATTAGATTTTTTTTTAGATTTTTAGATTTACAGCTTGATTCCACACTGTATTTTTTGTACAAGTATGGAATTTTCAGCATGGATATCGGTAGCCCAAATTTCGCAGGCCGACCATAGATATCAGGTGTGCGCCGGCATGGGCTCGAACCCGGGACCATGCGCATGGTCGGCGAGAGTCCTAACCACTGTGCCACGACGCACACTAAGTCCTTTCATGTTACTGTTCTTTCTCTCGTACACTCCTCACTTTTTATATCAATATCTCCTATTCTTGATTTTATGTATTGTAACTAATCCGAATTTATCTACCATTTCTGACAGACTGATTCATATTGAAGTTCCGTCAGGAAATACTGTCGGGTATCCGAAATTTTCAGAAATTGGTCGAATCAACCCGGTGTCATCGGCAAACAATTCGGGGAATCACAGTAGTTGTTGTCTAGACTTAAATGTTTTGAGCATTACTTCCAGCCAGATTTGTTTTGCTATGTCGAACTCTCGAGGAGAGGTGCATGGATGGATTCTACCTTGGTGCCCTTTGAATAGTAATCCTACTGACAATAATGAGTGTGTCAGTAAAATTGAAAACAATGACTGTTACAGTGATGTTGATGGTGTATTCGGTCTCTATCTAAATTCTGCCTTCCATTGGGTTTTAAACTGCGCACCAATTCCACCTTTTCATATACCAAACCAATTAGCTTTCAATTGTATAACTTCATTGAGTTTTGAGACTCCTTTTTCCAGCAATAATACTGATTCAATAATCGTTGCAGTTGGCGCCGATGATGGTAGTGTCCGCGTGGCTGTTGTTCCTGTAAATTTTGATCGAAATTCAAGATCACCCGTGATGCACCCACAATGGTCTGTCTCCTGTGTGAAACACTACAGTAGTGTTGTTAAATTGGCTACATGTCCGCATTTTGAATCATGTGACCAGTATTTGTATTATTTTTTAAGTGTGGCCTCAGATCAACGTTTAATACTTTGGTGTTTGAAGGCGAATTCTCAGGAATTAGTGGACAACTTTCAGTTAAATGCAATAAAGTGTATTTTGTTGTGTGGTTTGGGCGAACCCCATAGCTTATCAATAAGCTGTCAACACCATCAAGTTAGGAGTGGAAATAAGAAGAATTATACTACTTTTGCTCTTGTTGTGGGAACTGGTGCTCATTTAATTCGTGTGTCTTAAGCAAACTGCATAAAATGACTTATTTTTGTATATGATTTTGTACATTCTATTTGTAATATATGATTTGAGCTATATTCTCCTTCTCGATTCCTTTATGTTCTGCGTGGAACATAGGAATTCAAACTGTGAAGTTTCGGTAGTGGTGTAGTTTTAATAGAGTAGATTTGGCAGCCTCAAATCCAGGGAGTACAACGCAGCCGTTTCGTCCTAGTTTGGGACTCTTTAGTAGTACTCACCGATGATCATATCGGGGAGCGAACTCAGGGCCTTCGAGTTATGAGGCAGATCCGTTGACCATTCAACCACTAGCATGAAACCCAATGTCACATCAATTCTATCTTCTGTCACTTCGCGATTGTGTTCAAATGTAACTATGATTATTAAATTTTTCATACATAGAGAAAACTACGCGAAGCACATCAAAGTATCACGAGTAGATTTGAAGTGTTAGAAAAGGAATTTCTAAGTAAATTTCACACTGCGTTGAATGTCTGATAGAAAATGACAACTATTGCATTGCATAAATTTGCTTCTGTCTACTTACTACTTAAAAATGGTTTAGCAGTCAATGTGTTCAAGACTATGATGAGTTATCACACATTATTTGTTCACAGTGGATTGTTGGTTTCCTTCACCGTAAAAACATTAATGGAATCAGTAAAAATTTAAGTATTTATTTTAGCTACTTAAAATTTATAAAGTAGCCTGAGTGTAAATCGAAGCAAAAAAATGATTACTACCTGTGAGATGTTCTTTGCCACAGTATTATGTTAACCGAGCATGAAGACTGAAATGGTTTAGTACTCACCAAACTTTGATGTTAATTTGCAATAGAATATATATATATATATCAATACATTAAATAAAAATAATTATCTAGATTGTGTTTTTGTATGGATATGGATTAATTTCATTGTGTATTTCGTCATCAACCAACCGTCATCAACCGTTATGGACTACTGAAAACTATAGAGTACTGAACAATGGTTTCATCGCGGTGTCGGACTCTTCAGCAGTGTATCAGGAATTCAACTCAAGACCCTCATTTTTCGAGGTCATGCTCGTTGACTGTTGAGTCAGTAGGATTCACAATGTCAAGGTGAATTAGATGTTCACTGCATTAAACACGCTCGTATATTTCCAGAACACATTCTGTTGGTCTTTGGACATATTGAAACCTGAAATATTCTGTATTTATTTCAGACTTAGTGGGAGTGACTTCTTTTATTCACTGAGCCATAAGATGTATTTACTTGTATAATATCATCTTGTTATTCAAGGTGATGAAGCACCACATGTATCACAGATTCTGTAGTTTTAGTGACTTGTTTTAGCTAAACAAACTTCTTCGGGGTGATGTGCTAAAATTAAGTAAGTTGCTCATCTATACTGTTGAAATAATTAGCTTTGAATGTGTAAAACACGTAGGTAGGTTGTTTTTGGGAAACTGTGAAAAAAAGACATTTTCACGCTCGACTGCTAGTTTTTAAGTAGTGTGGAAAATGCGGCATTCAGACTTATAAAACTACACCGACTGCTACTTACGTAATCGGTGACGACTGAGGGTGAAGCGAGAATCTTGTTGGCAACGGATTTTCGATCAGTGGCCTCCGAATTACCAGTTCACCAGATCCCATAGCCCAGTTGGTTGAGCACATGGTGAAATTGTCGTTTAGGACGGTTTTTCAGTTCATCTTGAGTATGTCAATAAAAATTCGAAGTACTGAGGCGAAAATGAGAACCATTCTTCATCTTTTTCAAAATAACACAAAAGAATGATGACTGTACGGTGAAAAAAGTGGTTTATATGACATTATCACTCGAAGTTTTATTTTTTATCACCAGTGATGTCTAGTGAAAATATTTGTTTTAGAAGAGATGGTTCTTTTGTGTGTATGTGAGATACAGCAGATGTTTCAGGATGGAATACAATATATATGCCTTGTTATTTTTGAACAGAGAAAATACGCAAACATTTTCGGTGTTTACAAGATGAGAGTTGTGTGTTTGTGTGTGCGCGCTTAAGTTTATTCTGAAAAATGCCAATGTACACACATCATAACAAAAATCTTTTTTTCATCATTTCAAAAAGTAGTATATGCCTAACTGACGCAAATGAATAAAACTGAGTCTGTTAGACAAGAATAAACTGATATACCTTTGTTGCCTATGATCATATAACCGCTTGCAAATTGATGTTATATTTTCTTGATTGAAGATCTACCGATGAAAACCAGCAAGTTACTAGAAGAAACGGTGAAGTCAGACCTTCAGGTGATCATGGAGGAGATAGTAATACTTGCTCATCAACAAGAGCATATATCAATCGCCATCAGCGGAAGAAATTTGAGGGAAATCCCTCCTTCCACTTATTTGGGCAGTATCATTCCTTCTACAAATAGTAGCTTGGAAAAAGGTGTCAGAGACAGGATCTGAAAAGCGAACCAGTTTTGAGATATGTTGTATTCAGTTTATATCGGACAAGATCCAAATTTCCAACTATAATGTCAAGTTACTGCTTTCATATACCTCAGAAACGATGTGTCACCAAAAGCATTTCGAACCGGCTACTGAAGACTTTCATCAGCAACCATCTTTACTGCATACTGAAGAACAGATGGCCAGTCAGAAAGGAAAAGCAACATGGAACTCTGACAGACGACCAACCAACTACCTGTTGCCTAACAAATTCACCGAAGGAAATAGGGATGAATCAGAGACACCCTGAGGAGATCGTTGAGTGAAATTGCACGCCGTGTCTAGAGTGGAACACGAATGAGAGACTACGAGTTGTGTGTTAGTCTGAGGTGCCAGGGGATGTAAAGGCTTATGGACAATTAGGAAGACAGTTAAAGAGGACTGTAGAAAGCAGGATGAAATGGAGGCTTGCTGCCGAAACCTTATGTTGCACTCGGAACTCAAGGGGATAATAATACAATAATATTTTCTTGGTACCTTGGATACAAAATAGTAAAGCAATGGACTGAATAAATATCATAGTAGAATAAAATGAGTCCTATGACCTATAATATTTATTAAATCAGAATACAATGGAATGTTTTGAAATAACAGGAAAGATTTGTAACTCAGGTGGATGATTTGCAATTAATAGTGTTCTTTGAGCCGGTTGGTTTAGTTGCGAATCCGATTGAAAGGATAGAGAAACAGCTAACGGAATCATTGAAACGACTGAAACAACAAGGCTTCATGTCACAGAGTCAGTACACATCCCTTAAACCCACTGGAACTTTTACACCAAGACTATATGGCTCGCCTAAAGTGCACGAAGAGGGTGTATCGCTTCGACCAGCATTAGATATGTTAAATTTGCCATACCAACCTGTAGCCAAATGGCTAGTCGAAATCTTATAGCCGCTTCATACCGAGTTGGTGAAACACAGTGTAATGGATACTTTCGAATTTGTGGAAAGGATAAAAGATTTAAATGTTGACAATAAATTCATGATATCATTTGACGTATCTTCCTTATTCACCAATGTACCACTTATGGAAACAGCGAATTTAGTATGCGAAGAACTCAAAAGACGAAACATCGATGTTGGCATTCTTTTATCTTTTATGAAAGAGCTTCTTTTGAAACGTACAATGAATGTCCACTTTTTATTTAATAATGAACTATATAGACAAATAGACGGTGTGGCAATGAAGTCACCACTAGGACCCATTCTAGCCGACATTTTCTTTGCGAAACTAAAAAATGGGTCTCTTAAGGATGTTATTAGTGAACTCGAAATTTATTGTCGGTACATGGATGATACTTTTTTGATTATGAAAAACGAGAAGAAAGCAAAGAGCATCCTAGATAAATTTAATGAGGTACATCGTGCAATAAATTTTACTATGGAGAAAGAAAAAGACTAGCATTCCATTTTTAGAGGTCTTTATGACCAGAAAAGAGGATGGCACAATAAGAAGAAGTGTTTATAGAAAACCTACATAAAGGGCCAGTACACACATTTTCTCAGTTTTGTGCCCTTGAAATACAAACGCAATTTGATAAAGTGCCTGGTTCACAGAGCAAAAGCGATTTGCTCGGACAAATGTCTTGATGAAGAACTGAATAATATTAAACGGTTGTTAATTAAAAATGGTTATCCTGAAAAGTTTATTGATAAGAATATGAATTTGAAACCAAAGCAGCCGAAGTTACCAACAGTTCTTTATTCTTACAGATGCAGTTCCTTGGGGACAACACTAGCGAGATACTAACACAGCGCATTAGAAATGCGGTAAGACGAGCATTCCCTGCTACTGAATTACGTTGTACCTTTAAGACCACTCCTCTTCTGCGTTCGGGAGTAAAAGATGTCGTCCAGAAAGACGACGAAAGCTCCGCAACTAAAACCAACCAGCTCAGAGAACACTATTAATTGCAAATGGAATGTTTTCTCAGAAAATATGATAGAAAAGGACTGAGAACATTGCCACCAGGAATAAGCAAATATTTATTCATCTCACTTTCAAGAATGGTGATTTTTTGAACGTGTTTAACGAAAAATTAAGTAAAACACTGACTAGTATGTAACAGAGAGCTAAGTAAGCTGTTGTGTTTCAAATAATTTGCTTGTTTATTTAGTTAGAAATCGTCAGATTTTTCTCATACAATACAATCAATTCAGTGAATCAGTTCATACGTATCTGCTGTAGCGTTTACAAGGGAAGCATAAAAAGAAGTGCTTACTTGAAGTGTCTTCAACATGCGTTGAAGATACTAAATTTAAACAAACCCAACCACCTGAGCAGTTAAGTCTTCAGGCATCTGATGAACACGTGACTGTAATGATAGGCTTTGCGGTCATCAGAAATAATCAAGAAACCAAGCAGTACTGACTTTCTTTGTTTTATTGAGGCTGTCACAATCAAACATCTAAAACTATGTCTACGTGTTTGAAAGGTCTCAGTTGACAACCTTTCTAACAGCCAGGTAACTTAAATTTCCATCACTAAGAAATAATTCATGAAACTGATGAGAACCGATGAAATAAGATGGATCCATGTTATTCTGTTCTTTTCAATTTATCTTGGCATAACATTTGTTTT